CTCGCGCGCCCCGTCGGCAACGTACCTCAGGGCCTCGACCGCCTGCCGCAGCTGCGCGGGGTACGTGGCCGCCGGGGCGAGGCTGTAGGCGAGGAAGAAGACGGCCAGGTCCGCGCGCGCCCGCACGAGCGTCATGAAGAAGGCGAGGTGGCCGTTGAGCGCGGGGAGGTTGAAGCCGCCGCCTGTTTTGCGGACTGTTAGCGGGGCACCTTGCGTGCGGTTGCGGTGGGAAAAGCTGACCGTGATACCAGACGAGGACGCACCTGGCGTCCGGGTCGCCGATCCAGTGGCCCTTGGCGCCGTGGCGGAGCTCGACTGTGCGCGGGGTGAGCTTGAACGACGCCGCCTGGTGCTTGTACACGGCGTCTGTGTCGGGGAAGACCCATCTGTAGTGTCTGGTGGTTAGCTGCTGAGCGACTGGGACACCGGGCTCGATGCCTGGGCGTACTGCTGCTGGGGCGAGGACAGCCGGACGACGAGCTTGCGCACCGCGGCGTACACGACGTGCAGGTACAGCGAGGGCTCATCGTCGGGCCCGCGCCGCCATCCTGTCAGCAGCGCTGAGATGGTGGTGAAGACGAGGGATCCCAGTGCCGGGAGCAGGTCGAGCTTCTCTCTGAGCGTGGGCGTGGGGTAGGCGGCTGTGGAGGGGGCCATGGTGTTTTGGGCGGACTCGGACGGTTTTTTTCCTTCTTCTTTTTAGTATGGGGCTATTTCTTTTGACATGGTTGAATCGTGGCTCTGCTTGGCCGTCACGTTGAAAGAAGGGGTCTCAAAATCGTCGCCTGGTCAACATTACACGGGGTCAGCTACAGTGGCTTGTGCCTCGCTTGGAAGTAAGCCACGGGCAGTCTGTTGCACGTGGCACAGCAGCCACGCACCCCTTGACCAGTGCTTCTCCAGCCACTGCTGGCTGTCCAGAGCAATCGTGTACTCTTTGTGCAAGGTCTTTCATTCGAAGTACGAGCAGCCATCACAGGCACTAGATCAGCTTAAGCTCGAAGGTACCTCACCCACTGTTTTGTAATATGTTGCTATCGATCTGACTGTAAACAAAGAGCTGCAGAATCTGTCCGTGGATCTGCTCTTGGCACTCCAAACTACTTGAACTTGCCGCCTGCTCCGCTCAAGCGGCAACGGGAAGAACCTCCTCGGAGACCTGCTCAGACTCAATTCCGCAGTCAACTCCGGCGACTTTGATATCGGACGTATCAAGCCACTCCTGTAAGCTGCCCTTGCTGATAGTCTTGATGATGCGCTTGTCTGGAGTCATGTATACGATCTCGTAACCGAATCTACCCCCCCTCTGCGACCGATTTCTTCCTTCGTCGAACAGGCCCCGTGGAGTTAAAGACGAGCAGCTTTGTGAACTCATCAGAACTTCGTACTAATGTAGACAAGGTTTTAAAACAGGAACTTGGACCCCTGTACGTTGGGGTTTCTAACCTCCACGACACCGTCTTAAAGACATTCCAGGTTTAGGGATTACGTCTAAGACGGCCTTCGGCGAGTGTACTAAGGGCGACAATCCGCTCTTTAATGAAGGGTGGGTGGTTGGCCTAGAAGCGCAAAGGAAGTAATGTGGTTGCCTGGCTTGTCAACCTTATCCCTAAATTAGAGGCATTCATAAGAGATATCATTTTAACACTACCATACCGACGGAAGCTGTTAGCGTAACCTAACACCCTATTATTGGGATTTACAGGCAAACGTAGCTTGGATATTAGCTTCGTTAATAACGATATTACATATAACCCTAACGCCAAGGATTTAAGGTATCGTTGGTCACACGTTTTCGTGGCTGGAGAATTAAAAAGCAACCTAAAAGCCGATACGGCATCAATTACGTGGATTGATCTGGCGAGATATGCCAGAGAGGTTCTGGCCGCTTAAGACGCTCGACGCTTTATTCTAGGGCTTACACTCTGCGGGTCGCTAATGAGGGTTTGGAAGTTTTATCGGCTAGGAGGGTCGCCTTGGAACAGTTTGACATTAACAAGAACGGACAAATGTTCGTAATAACGGTTCTCGGATTTCTGTGGATGGATGAAGAGAAACTTGGGTTTGACCCTACAATTATGGTATCTGGCAGCGAGCGGTACATTGAGATTGAACGAAACGGTCGGAGAGAGCGACTTATTATCAACGAGGTTATAAAGCGCGCACCGTGTGTCGCGGGCCAAGCGACGACCTGCTGGAGAGCTTATCGGAAAGACGACCTAAAGCCGCCACTTGTCATTAAAGACTCATAGCAGTACACTGACCGGGATGAAGAGGGTGAACTTCTCCAGGAAGCAACCGAAAAGAATGTGATTAATGTGGCCCGATACTACCACTATGAGACTGTTCGAATCCACGGCATCACCGACGATATTTTAAATAATGTTCGAAGGGGACTGGATGTTACTAAAGCCGCGAATTATCGACGCACTAGATCAACCCTACCACTAGCCACCAGTAGTGTTGGCCTCAAGCGGCCATCAAGCGAAACCGACGCCGTGCCGCCAGGCAAGCGATCCTACTCAAGATCTCCCACCAAACGTAGCATTAAATCACTGGTAAACAGGGTTCACAGGCGGACTATTATTTGTGATTATAGGAAGCTAATTTATAAGGCTACCTCACGAGCGTCTCTACTTACCTACCTAGCAGGTTGCCTTAAAGGGTATAAGTCTCTACACAACGCAGGTTTACTACACCAAGATATTTCTATTAATAACCTTATAATTAACGAAGAAGAAGAGAATCCCTTATATCTAGCTTTTTTGATCGATCTTAATCTTGCTATTAGAGAGCAACGAGTAGCTGCCTCGGGAGCCAAGGGTAAAACAGGGACAAGAGCCTTCATGGCTATTGGTACATTGCTGGGCGAGCAGCATTCTTTTATGCACGACGTGGAGTCCTTCTTCTGGGTACTGTTCTGGATATGCATTCATTTTGATGGTCAAAATGAAAGAGTAGTTAAGCGGTTTGAGAGTTGGAATTTCGCTGATCCTGAGGAGCTGGCAAGTTCCAAAAAGGGAGTCATAAGTGGCGAAGAGGATTTTCTCCAAATTGCGCGCGCAGGAAAACTTCGCTCCATACTACAGGCCGTTTATTTTAATGGTCAATAGATTGAGGCGAGAGGTATTTCCCAAGGGAGAGAGGTGGAAGAGACCAAACACTGATCTATACGCCCGGATGAAACGCATCCTTGTTGAAGCTCAGAAAGATCAAGCATAGAAAGTCATACCAAAAGAGGCTGATGCTGGAGCAAAGTTGTACTATTGAAACCTGTTTCCACCTTGAGACTGTGGTGACATGAAGTGGAAGAAAGTCTGAGTGACTCGGGTTGAGAACGCGTGGTAATCACGGCTCACGCGCAGCGAGACCATCCAGACGCGGCCACCCCCTCGTGGGATCGTTGAAGGTGTGATGTGAACGGCTACAGTAGGGTTGACTGCCCCGCCCAATAGCCTTCAATTTGCAGGGCTAGAACGTGGTTGGTTCGTTAACAAGGCACCAGACCAGGCACAAACCCAGTGGGACGACCACTAGTCAGCCCCTGGCTGCCCGAAAATAGCGCTGTGCAAAATGCTTAGAGTACTGCGTTGCTGCCCCCGCCCCTTGTTTGAAACATTTGAACCTACATAATCTTCTTACATATTGCGAAGAGAGCCTCGCGTTTGAAACGCCTCAGCCGCTTATTTTGTGGTGAATTGAAATGCATTGAAGATGATGCGGACGCTACCGAGCCGCCATTATTTTCAGGGCCCCGAGCTGTGAAGCTTTAAAGGTCATGAAGAAATGTTCCATGGTATCCTGCGTCTTCCTGAAGAACCTAGAGGTACTCCGCACATTGGGTCATTTACGCTAAACCAAATTTAACTAGCGGTTTATCTCGCTATTTATCTATGTACCGAAACCGCGACGCTCTTAACGCCTTCTACTGTAGCTGGTTGCGATGGAGAATGCTTGTTTTTCGAATTGGGTTCGTTTTCCGGGGAAGTGGGCTGGCCATGAATAAATGTCAGCTGGCAAGACGGGAGATTGGCTGCGTGCGGGGTAGGAACGTCTAACCACGTCGTCGGCGTATCGACTGTCCTGCAAGAAGACCAGCCGGGAGCATTTTTGGCATGAGGTGACGAGTGACGGGGCAACACGGCTTCACATTTTCACTGCCCTCATCCAGCACGACTCGCCCTCGGGCCTCTCGGCCAGCCTCGCCATCTGCACGGCGTCGGGGCTATCCGCGCCGTCCCACAGCGCGCTCGCCTCGGCCGCGAGGTGCGCCCACCTGAGCGTGTGCCAGTAGTGGCCGGCGGCGCAGTGGGCGCGCGCGGCGAGCACCGAGGCCTCGTGCACGTCGGCGTAGAGCCGCTCCTGCCGGAACAGGCTGACGAGCGCCTCGGCCATCTGCGGCGGCGGGCTGTCGTCGTCGCCCTCGTCGCCGCGGAGCCGGCTCAGCAGCCGGTCCATCTCGGCGACGCGCCTGTCCGACAGGGCCGCCAGCTCGGGCGGCTGCGAGCACGCGCTGCACGAGCAGTTGAAGCCCCACGACGCGCGCAGCCTCGACAGCCGCTCCGCCCGGCTCTGCAGCGGGCTGATGTACGTGATGGAGATTTCGGCCCCCGGCGCAATGTCCGTGAGCGCGTGCACGCGTTGCGTCAGCGTCGCCTCGTCGAAGAAGTAGACGGCGTTGGGGCGGCAGTCGTGGTTCAAGCGCTGGGCACCACAAGAGGTCAACTGGTCAGCACAGGATTCTGCCCCCCCTTTTTTGTCATCATTATTATAATCATCATTTGCGTCCATACTTACCGCCATCTCGGGCAGCACGCCGTAAAAGGTGTCGTCGCCCATGTGCAGCTCAAACGCGTTGGGGTCAATGCGGTCCGCGACGGGGTCGTCGCCCGGCCGGGCGTGCAGGTCCCAGAACCGCTTCTGCATGGCGGGCGGCAGCTTGTCCACGGCCAGGGCGGCCAGATCGTCGTTGCCGGCGGCGGCGTCGTCAAAGGCCTCGGCGTCGAGCAGCAGGATGGGCGTGTCGGCAAAGATGCGGTCGCCCCGGTGCAGCGTCCTGGTGGCCACGAGCCCGCGGCCCTTGCCGGCCATCTGCCGCTCCTCGTACGGCGGCGACGAGAAGTCGTTGGCGTAGGCCGGCGCCCGCACCTTGGCGAACTGCTGGATGCGCTCCGGCGTCGTGACGATGGAGAGGCCCCTGCCGCCGGCGAAGCCCGCCGAGTGGTACACGAGGAAGTCGTCGCTGGTGTTTTGCGCCAGCCCGTGGCCCGGGGGGGATAGGGGCGAGACTGCGCTGCCCGGCCCCCCCGGCCCACCCAGCACGAGGGGACTAAGAGGTGTCTGGGCGAGCGGGAGCAGTTCCTTTGCGATTTGGAAGTATGCCTGGCAGAGCGAGGCTGCGGCGCAGAGGAGCAGGATCGCTTGGGGGGCCGGCACGCCCATGGTGCTTGCTGGCGAGGGCGAAGGGGATGATGCGGGGGGGGGGTTTGTATATGGCAGGAAGCTTGTCGGCAAAGATGCGGTCGCCCCGGTGCAGCGTCCTGGTGGCCACGAGCCCGCGGCCCTTGCCGGCCATCTGCCGCTCCTCGTACGGCGGCGACGAGAAGTCGTTGGCGTAGGCCGGCGCCCGCACCTTGGCGAACTGCTGGATGCGCTCCGGCGTTGTGACGATGGAGAGGCCCCTGCCGCCGGCGAAGCCCGCCGAGTGGTACACGAGGAAGTCGTCGCTGGTGTTTTGCGCCAGCCCGTGGCCCGGGGGGGATAGGGGCGAGACTGCGCTGCCCGGCCCCCCCGGCCCACCCAGCACGAGGGGACTAAGAGGTGTCTGGGCGAGCGGGAGCAGTTCCTTTGCGATTTGGAAGTATGCCTGGCAGAGCGAGGCTGCGGCGCAGAGGAGCAGGATCGCTTGGGGGGCCGGCACGCCCATGGTGCTTGCTGGCGAGGGCGAAGGGGATGATGCGGGGGGGGGGTTTGTATATATATGTATGTGCGTGATGTGTGTGTAGTTAACGTATATATGTCTGTGAGTGAGCGAGGGAGTAAGAGTGTAGTCGCATGTGGGAGAGATGTGTGTATATATATAATATATGTGTGTGTGTATGTGGGTGAGTGTAGTTTAATATACACCTACACGCATTATCCCCGACATGCAGATGGATTCACAACTCGCCATCAGCCCACGCACAACACAAGACGACGGCCCTCAGCCGGATGCAGCTCAGAACCCTGCGTGCGTCTTCGCGCCTGTCACGGGCTACGTTTCGAGATGGTCCAACCCGTGTTCTGGGGAACCCTGGATGAAACGCAAAAAGCCACTCACACCGCACAATACCAGAGGATCGGCAACCGGCGCCCGTGCGCTGTAATTTAGCCAAGACTGTCTTTAAACACGGGTCGTCTACAGTCTAAAGCTCCCCCTTTGTCCTGGGCCTATTTGGCGTATTGTGGCAGTTTCTGCTGCCTGTCAAACCTGTCAGGATGCAGATCCGAAACATGGGCGCCATGAATTGATATGCACATTGGCGATGAAGTGGTTCTTGGTTGCCCGCGGGTAAATCTGGATTGAATCCTACCAGACTTTATTTGAAAAGCGGGCGCGACCGTGTGCGCTGCAGACGATGCTAGTTGACACTGGTGAGGCGCGGGAAGCGAATTCAATGTTTGCACATCAACGATGCTGCGGCCTGCCGACGGGACCTTGTCGGTACTTTTCGCCGTTTTAATCTCCTCCCAGTGGTTAGAAATAAATAAATAATAATAATAATGGCACGACTTCTCGCAGGAAAAGAATGGGGAATGCTGCTTTGCAACATGTGGTCGCGGTGCTGTGCGGTGGCGGTGCAAGAGGAAACGGATGCCGTTGCAGACGGGCGTTTCTGCGCCGCAGCTGGGCAGGAGTCGGTTGATGATCAGTTCATGTGAAATCTGCTTGGCTGGAAGAAACGTATAGACAGGTTGGGCGAGATTGTGCTTGCAGAAATGCCGAGTGTTTCTTGAATCCCGAGAGCCACGTTCCAGACATGAGCCCTGGCCGAACACGTCATGCCAAATACTGCAAGAATCTCGAATTGCAGAAATATAATAAAAGAAATCACAAAAATATTCCTCAGCAAATACGATAAAGTTGCAGCATGTGACATGTTGCAAATTGCAATTATCCAGAAATCTACAACCGTCCACCGGTTAAATACAGCCTGGCGCCATTGCCACCAGGGATTCGCAACACAGGTCGTCTGAGAATTCAACTCCACCTCAGTAGGAAACGCGACACTCCTCAGCCTCTAATAATTGATTTCCAAAGCTTCCAATCAGGTACATCTGTTTTAATCCTTTGTCACACGAAAGCGACATGTTCCTCCTAAAACGGTTCATATATCCTAACGTAGCTTAAACCGGCTGCCTTGGCATAAATAATGCATCGCGAGGGATCATAAGGAGGTTAAACCGGGCTTTCAAGGATAAAAGCTTAAAGCAGCTATAACCTAGATACCGCAGTTATCAAGGTCAGGTTATATACGTGTAAATAATAGTATATATACAAGTTAAATGTCAAGTTCTTAAATCAATTAAATTGAGAACCGTTTAAACTTTAAGATAGTTACTCAATTAAAATTAAAGCCATTACAAGCACTCTATTAATCCCTTGTCACATTCTTAATGAAAGTGTTAATCCTCATGTATAACGGTCCACCCAAGTCATCCGCATAGTCGCCTGCGCACTCCCTTCGATATTCATGGCCACCTAAAGAAAAGAATAGATATTCATGGGGATCCCGTACAAGGTTAGTGAGTAATAAAGGAAGACTCTGCACGTACAAAATATGACGGATAGTTCTAGGGATCTATCCAGGCTGCAGAATTTCTATATTACCCGTTGTGACAAGGGCGGGTTGACTGGGTTTGGAACAAAGGTTCAATTCAATCTCAACAATAGACTTTAACGTATCAAAGCTTCTTAGTTTTCCACGAGGCCCTGAGGGAATAAAGGTCACATTAATACAGGAAGTCGGTCAACACTCGAGGCTGAGGCAGGCATCGTTTAGGTCCGGCCCCGGGCCTCGTGATATTTCCTTTGTTGTGCGACCGTTGTGGGCTCAACCTCCATTGTTGTGGGCCAACCGTGTGACACCCGTCACGTAAGCTATATCCTGTTGATGAGTCTTCTATAAAACTAGATGCCTCCGTAATAAATCTTCCTGGGCCATATCTTCAAGTGCTACGTCAAGTGTGTTGGCGTCGTCACAGACTTCCACAGTAGCCCACGAGTGCCAATTGTCATCCAGCTGGGCACTCGTAAATCTTTACACTCAGGCACGACCATCGAGTCACAGAGGCAAAACACTAGCATCACTGTGCATAAAAATACTGCATATTTTGCATTCCACTACGTGTTCGTCAATACGTGTGCTCGTAACCTGCATCCGCTCGTCACAGGTGTCGCACCCGTGCTGCATAGTGTAGAGCGTGGGAGCCCACCCCAATCTATCTACTGTAAAGAATTGCGCTTTATCCAGGAGTTTCTGTCCGACTTGTCCTGTCCTGGCTTTTTGCCACATTTCGGGTAGACTTGACGTGGCAAACTCTGAAAAAGCAAAGAGGACATGTAATTCGCGACCTTTCCCCCCCTTCTTTTCACAATACCCATTCTTCATGGGCCTTGTGTAGCCGCTCGAGACGGCATGTGTTACTCAGAGCACGCTGGGGTGGAAGGGCCTGTTGTATGCGCTGTAAGTTGCGGCAGGGTTAGTCGTGGCAGGCTTTGTCACGGCTGAGGGCACGTTGTAGACGGGCGTGTTGTCTAGGGCCTTGTTCGTGACGTCCTTGGGCTTCGTCATGGGGGGCTTTGTAGTGGCGGGCTTCACCGAGGTTTGAAGCGTTGTGTGAATGGAATAGATCTGGGTCTGATGGGCAGGAGTTGGCTTGCTCACGTGAGTCTTGGTCGTCGGTATGTGATGGACAGGGACGTGATGGTGTGTAGGCTGGACATGGTGCGTCTTGGTGCTCTGGGTGTGCTGCACAGGATAATGCTCCCCGCACCCATAAGGAACCACGAACTTCTTGTCCTCGGTGCGCTTCTCGAGCTGTTTGGGCAGCCCAGGCTCTCCGTGCAGTCCCTTGTCGTGTATTCCGACCTCCACGGGGTGCGGCTCATGAACCCGGTGCATTCCGTGCTCTCCGTCATGCGGTCTTTGGCCATGACCTCCGAGCATGCCGGTGCTTGCCTCTTGAGGTCCATGGCCTTCGTGGTGTCTAGGGTCCTCGTGGTGTCCATGATCTTGGCCCCCATGTCCCTGGTTCTTCGGCTTCTTCCTCCTCCTCTGAGTCTCTTCATCCTGGGCCACATCTTCAAAGTCCTCGCGAGACTCCAGCCGGTAACTGACTTCAATGACGCTGTCCTCCTCTTCAACGGCCTCGTTTCTGGCAGCAATCTCTCGCAGGGCCTCTTCCATGTCTCGCCGAGCAAAGCTGTGCATTTCACCCTGCTGCATGGCATTTGAATCCTCCTGGCTGACGGTACTGGCGATGGCGCCGCTGAAAACCGTGGCGAGGGCGAGAGCGTGTGTCAGTCTCATAGTGATTGGAGCCTGGATGATATCGCAGTTAAAACAGGTTTGGAAAGTAGAGAAGGGTCCAGACTATGCGCCGGCTGAAGAAGTTGCTTTTGAGCTGGATTAATTGGTGGAAAGAAAATACGGCAGGATGGACTGACTCCTTTATACCTGTCTGCCCTGGGCAAGAGTTGTACTGTTTGCTTGTCGTGAGCGAAGTTGATTTCCACTTCCGGCCATGATAAAACCAGAACGGCATACAATCTATGGGTCTGGGGGCTGCTTGGCAATGTCTCGAGTGACATCTGAGCAACGATTACAGCGGATTGTGAAAGGCAATGATGTGATGGTGCGCAATGTGCCCGACAATGCGCGCTCTTGGGCCATAATGTCTTACTTTGTAAAACACGTCGTCTTTCGAACCTATTGTCAACTAGACTTGATAGGTTATTTCTAAATCATGTTCTCCACTGTCTGTGTCATTTTGCAGGTGTCAACACGTTATTGCTAGGTTGCCTCGCACCTATTGTTTCTGTTGTGCGGTTGTTTGCGGTTTGCGACTTTCCTTGCCCTTTATACATTTTAATTAGCCCGTACTCTTCGCGATCCGTGAGCGAATTATGCCAAAAACTGTACAATAGTGCTTGGGAAGTTGAAAAATACCTGCTAGAGCACAGGTGATTGTGCAGTTGGGTGCCTAGATGATCAGCGCGGTGTGGCGGTCTGATGTCTGGCTGAAGCTTGTTGCGAGGAGAGACAGGAGTGCTCAAGGCAGCAGAGGCAATAGTCTCTCGTGACTGGCATTGAGATGTGAAGAGGATGAATGGACTGACCCCGAGAAAAGCCTCAAGACTTGGTATCCATCGTAATCCACTGACTTCATCATGTTGGTTGTTGTGGAGTTGTGCATCGCTGTAAATGCAGTTTGTTTTCGCGTAGTGACCCTGTGACCACGGCACATTACTGCTACCATGGAGCCATGCATGTTGGTCATGTTATGTAGATCAGTGAGTGTCCACCTAAGCGGCGTCGCATGTCTTTGTTCTTCGTTTGCTGGTTGCCCTAATCCAAAGCGGTACATGAGACCCCTACTTATATCGGGTGAAATGCAGCTGTTTTCCTTGTTTTTGGCGCGCTTGGAGTATTTTTCGTCATTTATACCCCCTTCTTTGTTTCTCATCTTTTGCAGACCCTGTCTAAAATGCCGCCATAGTGACCTGGGAGGCTTGGAATTTGAAAGTTGCCGTGAAATTGGGCTCTGGTCGAGGATACATGGTGGGAGCTGGGCGTAGAGAGTCGCACTACTTTTCCTCGTGCTTTTCTGCAATACCACTGTATGGGTGAGTGACATGTACATGAACTGACGAATGGATATTGTGAGGTATACCCACGTGCCTGGTAAGAATTTGGTCTTGTGCGGCATCATGATATCCCGGGATGTCGTACCAGTTGCTGACCAAATGATAACTGGTGCTGGTTTAGCTTCAAATATTGTGAGTGACTACAAAGTTTCTTCGAGGTTCGACCACAGCATTAAAAGCCATATGACTTACTTGACTCTGATGTCTTGCTTAGATAAAGAAAGTTGACCTTCTTCTGCAGAGTTGAGCATAAAAGCATCTGATACTGGGATTCCAAGCATTTGGGGAGCAATTAAATTGAACAGTCTCTACGGAGTACAGATTTTTTTTTTTTTTTTTTTTTCATTTTTTTCATTTTTTTTTTTGCCTTCAAATGAATCTCTTTGCATAACAGCAAGAGCTAGGCATTGGGGCATGGCCAATACCTGAAGTCGACGCGTTTGCAGTCACTGGCAGTTTGCAAACGCGTAATCGCTTCACACTTGGTAAAGTCCCCCAGCCTCTCGACGAACGCGGCTGGAAGGCAGGCAGGTGTTAACACCTGCAAGGACTGTGAACTGCCAGATGCCCCAGGCGCCTAACAAACAGACATCATAGCGCGTCGAGGTATATGGGAGTACAAATTTTTTTTTTTTTTTTTTTTTCATTTTTTTCATTTTTTTTTTTGCCTTCAAATGAATCTCTTTGCATAACAGCAAGAGCTAGGCATTGGGGCATGGCCAATACCTGAAGTCGACGCGTTTGCAGTCACTGGCAGTTTGCAAACGCGTAATCGCTTCACACTTGGTAAAGTCCCCCAGCCTCTCGACGAACGCGGCTGGAAGGCAGGCAGGTGTTAACACCTGCAAGGACTGTGAACTGCCAGATGCCCCAGGCGCCTAACAAACAGACATCATAGCGCGTCGAGGTATATGTTAACCGTCTGGTCCAACATGTGTTTCTTCGCCTTTCTTTCCGCCTGCCTCAGCTGTCACCACACATTCCCGCCTACCGTCACAATATAATCAGAGCTTATATGTAAGTGCTTCTTAGACCTACGGCCCTTGATCCACGTTTCGTCTATTTAGTCACTTTTCTTATCTATCCTCTGTACAGCCAACCAAAATCTCTCCTTGGAAATGGATCCCCTTCTCGCAGCTCGCCTGTCCGAAATCCAAAGGGAAGAAGAAGAAGAAAGAAAAGAAGAGGAAGAAGAAGAGGAAGAGGAAGAGGAGGAAGACGGAGAGTATGAGGAAGACGAAGACGAAGAGGAGGAAGCAGTAAGCTTCCGGCTCCTAGCCCCTAGAGCCAACCGACACTTAGATGAACAAGCCCCTATTCGTACTCTTCTTTTCCAGGGACCACCACGAGCACTCGAGCGTCTTCTTGCCGTGGCTGTTCGACCGCCCAATTCATGTCATGTACCAGAGAAACATGACAGCCAAGCCAAGGCCAGCTTTTCTAATAAGATCCAAAGAGGAAACCGCATCACGGGTCAAGCAGCCAAAATTACTACCGGTCATGCGGTAACTATTCTCGACCTGCCATTGGAGATTGTTCTACAAGTATTCGACCAAGTAAAACGTATGGAAGACGTCATCTGCCTCGGCCTAGCTAGCCGATCACTCTGGGTTATCGCTCGACAACGCCTCGACGATTATTACATGTCGCTCTCGGGCCAATGGTCCGGCGAGAATATTCTTTACTCTGGAGTCATGACTTTGGTGTCGGATCTCCCTCTGGGATTGTTCTTGGGGGAAGACACAGTACCCCCAGAGTTTCTCGAACATTATTTTAACATCTGGTGTCCTAACACGAAGCCGCAAAAAACACCACCAAGCATCGCAGCAGAGTCCATGCGCCCGTATAATAATTGCAAGAGTCGGGACCGGTTGGATGATCCTGCATTCAAGTTGGCTTACACAGAAATCGTTTGCGAAGACTCAGCCTACTTCCCGGAGGATGAGCCGTGGATTCTACGAAATATCAGCACAAAGCAGTTTGTTCGCTCTGAGGCTATTGCGATTAAACCGGAATATATCCATGGTCCTTTTATTGACTACTTGGGTTTTCGTGAAGTCGTTGTGGCAATGGCCAGTTGGTCGTTGACACGTTTTCACGCGATGAGAGACCCGACGACGATCTGGCGGGGAATCTGGGCAGGTAATCGCTTCGACATCACAACTCTCGCCAGACACAACTTGGATACTCGGGCTGCGGAGTGGCAAGACGTGAGCGAGGACGTAGCAAACACAATTGCTTCGGCTAATTATGGTGTGACAAGGGCTTAATAGAGGGCTTAAAGCAAAAGGGCTTAATTTAATAATAATCTTGTAGGATGTTAAAGGTTCTTAGTTTCTCTAAGCTAAAAGGTAAGAGGAGACTATCTTATATATATAAAAGAAATAGCTTATACTTAATATATCTTATAATTCTTATAATCTCATTATATAATAAAGAGCTTTTAATTCTTACTTAACTTAATTTATATAATATTAAATCTCTTTTTTTATAAGCTTAATCTTAAGTAATATAAGGTTATTTATACTCTTTAATTTTAAGGCTTATTAAAATTATTTAACTTATATTATTATAATAAGAACTTTATACTTTTACTTAAAAAGTATTTATAAGCCTTAAAATAATAAGGCTTATATAATAATAATTATTAAAGTTATTAAGCTTATTATTAGACCTATATAAGATTTTCTTTTAAGGTTACTTATAAATTAAAATCCTTAATTTTTAAGCTAATATTAAGAATATAATAAGTAAAAAGCTATTAATATTAAGAAGAACTTTAATTAGCGTTTCTTTCTCTTACTTAATTAAAGTTATAAAAATTATTAATTATAGCTTAATTTAAGGTTTATTAGGTTAAAGCTTCTTTAAATATAAAGCTATATTAGGTTTATTTTAAGATAAAAACCTTTTTTTATAAAATAACTTATAGAGGTCTTTTAAAAATTTAAATTAAAGTTAAAGAGTAATACGTAATTACATTCTATTAAGTCTCCTAAGATTATACTAATCTTAGATTATTTTACTAGTAATAGCTTTAATTTCTCTTTACTAGATTTTCGTTTATTATTACTAGATTTCGTAATACTAGTAATCTTAAAAGAGGCTAATAATAAGATATTACCTTCTTTATCTTTACTAGTATTAGACCTCTAAATGTATTGTATTTTTTGTATTTTTTACTATGCTATATTATATTATATTATATTAAAGTTAATTTATAAGTATACTATAAATTATAAGTCTTTATTTAATGTAATATCTTATAATATCTTATAATACTTTTAATAAACTTAAGTAAAGATTTAAATTAAGTCTTTTATCTTTTTTTCTTTTATTAAAAGAGATATAAAGTAAGCTATTTTAATAAAGAGATTTATTATAACCTAAATTAAGTTATATTCATTTAATAAGAGTAGGTTTATAATAAAGTTTATTACTATTAATTACTAAGACTTAAAGGCTATCTTTTATTTATAGCTTTTTATTATATATATAAGGTTAAATTTAGTTTTAAGGTTAATTTTTAAGAAAACTATAACTTCTTATAAGCGATCTTAAAGCTTATAAATAAGTGATATTAAGTATCTAATAAGCATTATAACTTTATTTAAACCTTTATAATTAATAATTAATTAAAGTAAGTCTTTTAGGTCTTTCTTATTTATAAATATTAAAGAGATACTATAAAATACTTTAAATTTTTTAATTTAATTAAATTTAAGCATTTTACTTAATTAAGAATAAAAAGCTTTAAGTTCTTAAGCGAATATAATAAAAAGAGATCTTTATAATAGAGATTTCTCTTTTATTAATTTAATTTAATAATTCTACGATTAATAGTTTAAAAGGTAAAAGGTTACTTTAACTAATATAATAAAAATAAACTTCTTAAATTCCTTAGGTATTATATTTAAAGCTACTTATATTATTAATTTTATTATTATAACGTGATTTTTTATTTATATAACTCTTAATAAATTTAAGCTTATATAGTTCTTTTTATAAAACTTTAAGGTAAACTTTATTTTATTTAAGTTATTATTTTAAAGGTTTATTAGCTAGTATTATTTTATTTATTAATAAAGAAGAATAATATTATAATTAAACCTTATAGCTTTTAACTTAAAGTTTACACTTATAAAGTAATCTTTTTAATACCTTAAAATAGTAAGGCTTATATAATAGTAGCTATTAAAGTTATTAGGCTTATTATTAAACCTATATAAGGTTTTCTTTTATGGTTACTTATAAATTCAAATCCTTAATTTTTAAGCTAATATTAAGAATATAATAGGTAAAAAGCTATTAATATTAAGAAGAACTTTAACTAGTATTTCTTTTTCTTACTTAATTAAAGTTATAAAAATTATTAATTATAGCTTAATTTAAGGTTTATTAGGTTAAAGCTTCTTTTAATATAAAGTTATATTAGGTTTATTTTAAGGTAAAGACCTTTTCTTATAAAATAACTTATAAAGGTCTTTTAAAAATTTAAATTAAAGTTAAAGGGTAATACGTAATTATATTCTTTTAAATCTTCTAAGATTATATTAATCTTAGGCTATTTTACTAGTAATAGCTTTAATTTCTCTTTATTAGATTTTTATTTATTATTACTAGATTTTATAATATTAGTAATTTTAAAAGAGGCTAATAGTAAGGTATTACCTTCTTTATCTTTACTAGTATAATATTAAGTAAAAGAGTAATTATCTTATTTATAACGCTAATAGTAATTATTAGCCTTTTTTCTTTTCTTAATAAAAGTCTTATTAATCTTTTTAAGAGCTTTTTAAGAGAACTTTTATCTTTTTTCTTTATTAGGCTTATTATTCTTAGTTTAATTCTTTAAGAATTCCTTTAATAAGCTTAAAGATTTTTATAAGCTATTAGTTTTAAATTAGCTTAATTTTAAGAGCTTTTAAGTTAAATTAAGCGTGTCTTTTTTATAAATTTAATTAAGTTAAGGTTTATTAATATATTTTTATAAATTTAGCTTACTTTAATAATAGTATTAAAGTATTTTTTATTTAAGAGTAATATACTATCTCTTTTTAAGTAAATTAGCTTAATTATCTTATTTAATAATATCTTAATAATATACGTTTAAAGAGTAAAGCTAATTTAATAGATTATTTCATTTAAGTCTATTATACTTATTAAAAACTATAAGATATTCTTAAAGTATTTAATCTTTAAAAGCTT